CACAGCATAATGGCATCACCAGACACACAGCAGTGGTGGGACAGAGGCTTTGCATCTTACCTGCCGGGGGTTACCTTTTTGTGAATAGGAGAGAAGCCAAAAGCTGATTGTTCGCAGGTTAACCCATGTTTGAAAAAAAAAACATGTCAACCCCGCTAAGAGGCTGAAGAGTATTTTCAAATTTCTGCACATTTTCTGTACTTGTAAGTTGCATCAGTATAGCAGCCTTTTTTCCATCAGGACTTCATCAGTGTAGAAACCATATGATGGAAAATGTCAGTATTTCTGAATCATCACCTTTACATAAATACACAGCCACCATAAACCTGTGCTGCTCACAGACATACCTCATTGGGTTTATGAAATTGGCCTTAATATAAAAAGTGTCAAAACCTCCAATTATAAATGTGAAAACACCCACAGAGAGTTACAGCAGTACTTCTAAAAACTTGTCTTGACTTGAATATGCTGGAGTGAAAACCACTTCTAATTGAGGTGAGCTAGGCGACTAACAGTTTGGTGAATTACCAGGAGTCATTCAGATGTTAACCTATATTTGTGTCATGTTCTGGCTCAGATAAGCTTCCTTCTATGACCAGTGGTTCACGATTTGCTTAAAGTGCTGCGGGCATGACATTATTATTAGAATGATTAGCATGCAAATCTTGTATAGCCCCTGGCACTGGCGCAGGCATCTACCCTTAAATTGGTCTTTCACATTCATTCACTTTAGGCTCCCTTTTAGTTGCATCTTAATGCTGGGCCCATAATATACATAAATTATAGCCTGTATTTTGTGTGCCATATAAATGCAGAATAAAGAGTAAAAGACCCATAACTTTGGATTAAACATAAAAAGGTAGATTCCAGCTATACTATGTTTGCAATAGTGGTTTTATTTTTTATTTTATCTTTGTCCAACATTGCTTTTTAGTTTATAGGAATTAAAAATGCTTGTGATTCTTCAATATTTTTTTCGCAATAATTCTCCTCTTGCTTATTTGTGTCAAGTTATTAAGTATTATAAGACACTATTTTGATCTTATGGAAAATGTTATTGCCTACACCGTCTAATAATACTGTTTTAAGGCAATATAGATATTTAACAATTAGATCAAATTAAAAAGGTAAAAAAAAATCAGATGCAGAAATCCTAAAAGTAATGAAATATTTGTGAAACATAAATAATTATTAAGTGGTCATTTTTGCCTGTTTGCTTAGACTTAGATTTAGACTTCTTTATTTGTCATTTTGTATGCACAGAGTGCATACAGAAC